ATCACAAGCCTCCCTTTGACGAGGCTGAACGTCAAGGGAGAAGCCTTTACTTGGATGAACCATCCACCAAGTACGGAAGCGTGGGCATCTCAGAGGAGAGGATGAAACTTTAAAGAAAGGCCACCTTGTTAGAACTCCGAGGCGTACATCACTAGCCTCCCTTTGACGAGGCTAAATGTTAAGGGAGAAGCCTTTACATGGATGAACCTTCCACCAAGTATGGAAGCACAAGTAACTTCAGGATAAAGACATTTGAGAACCTTTAAGAGATCAATTGATTAAGGTAACTTCAGTTTGATCCTGTCGGATTGGTTATTCAGTCTTATCCTATTAGATTGGTTATCCAGTCTTATCTTTAAGAGATCAGTTGGTTAAGTTTGATGAAGTTTAAACAGTTCATTGCGATATAACATAAATTATGATACAGAGAAAAGCAAAGTTTTTCATTCATATTAAACCAAAAAGTTCAAATTACAGAGGCCATAGGCCTTACAAAATTTAAGATGAAGTAGGGGTTGGGGGAGCTGGAGCATTGGAGCCAGAAGCTTCAGTTAATGGCAATTAAGGCGCTTCTACAGGCTGAGGCCTTTCGATTGGTGTATTATTAGACTCGAGTTCAATCACCTCGCCTTCCTCAGCTGGGGTCTAAGGAACCTCCTCCTCAATAAACTCTGCTTTAAGCTCAGAGATATCCAGCCCCGAATGCACTTCCTCCATTTTCTCAAAAACTTCTTGTAATGCCACCCTGCTCCAGTAAATTCCGAAGCGACGATATTCTTCGATGAGATGGAAATTAGCAATGTAGTTCTTCACCGCAATATCCCCAACTTCAAGAACATCCGCCTCATATTTTTTCACTTCGGAGGCATACCACTTCAGCTCGTTCTCCATGAACTTATTGGCCTCCTTGCAATCAGCGAGTGCCAAGTTCGCCTTCTCCAGGGCCTCTGCAGCGACTCTTTGGTGGTTATCAGATAGTTCCACCTTCTTTGTTAGAGCTGCCACCTCGCACTGAGACTTGTGCACCTCCTTCTTCAAAGCTTCAATTTCAGCTAGGAGGGAATCTCACTTGGCGTCATCTACATCTTTCTGGATTCTTAATTCAATGTTTGCCTCCTTTTTCTATTCAAGTTCAGCTTTAACTACTGCCAGTTCATCTCGCGAGTCTCTGTTCCTTGACTGAATTTCGAAATGACTGTTTGGCATTCAAGTGCCACGCTAAAAGCCCTGGCGGTTTGGCTCACCAAAGTGGCAGTGAGGTTCACTACGTCGCAGGTGGCAACATAATTCTGCCATCTCTCCGTCCAGAATTTGTTGAACCCCTCGGTGGCACCTCTCACCTCGGCGGGAGCATCTCCATAAGAGCAGGGGCTATCTTGCCCTCCCTGCCTCCCAGAAAGTTCCCAAACTTCCCTGGGGTCCTCTCCACTGGTGCCTTTTTTGTGGCCTCGGAGGCCTTCGTCGCCTCCTCTATTATCTTCCTCGATTGCGCCACCATTGCAGCGTCAATTGAAGATTGGAAAAGCTTCGGCTGCTTAGTAGCGCCCTTCTCTGTGTAGGACACCGATGTCCCAAAACTTGAAGACCCACCACCTGAGCCCAACTTTCTCTTCTTCAGGGGCTCTTCAGCTACGTCCTTGCCCTTGACAGCAGGCGGCTTACCCCCCTTTGTGGTCTCTCTGCGGGCCTCCTCTTCAGCCTCTTTATCATTCTTATCTTTGCTGAGGCGATCGAGCTTTGATTTCACTTGCTTGGCCCCCGAGGAAGCACCTTCGCCCCTGCAGTGGATGTAGCCTTCATTATACTGGCCATATCAGGCAGAGCATAGTCCTTCTTGCTGAATTTATCTGCAATCGACAGAGAAAAAGTTAAGATTACTGAGGTCATA